TAAATTCAAGTTAGTTAAAATACAGCATAGTCTTGGCTTCAGGAATAGAACCCAGTGATTCATCTCTGACATATGACACCCAGATTTCATCCCATAAAGTGCCCTCTTTAATGTCCATCACCCATTTAACCTATATCTCCACCCTCTACCTCCACCCCATCAACCCTCAGTTTGTTCTGTATTTAAGAGTCTTTTACGGTTTGCCTCCTGCTCTGTTTTTATCTTGTTTTTTTTTCCCTTCCCCTATGTTATCTTTTATGTTTCTTAAATTCCACAAATGAATGAAATCATATGTCCATTTGCATGGAATATCTTTTTCCATTCCTTCACTTTCAGTCATGATGTCTCTAGGTCTGAAGTGGGTCTCTTTCAGGAAGCATATGAATGGGTTTATTATTTTTTTTCTTTATCCATTCAATCATCTTATGTTTTTTTATTGCTGCATGTAGTCCATTTACATCATTTGCATTTAAAGTAATTATTAATAAGTATACACTTATTGCCATTCTCCTAATTGCTTTCTGGTTGTTTTTGTAGTTCTCTGTTCCTTTCTTCTTCTCTTGCTCTTTCCTTGTGGTTTGATTATGTTTTTAGTGTTACACTGGAATTCCTTTTTCTTTATTCTTTGTGTATCTATTACATGTTTTTGGTTTGTGGTTACTATAAGGTTCATATAGAACATCCTAAGTATACTTCAGTCTAATTTGATGGTAACTTAACTTTGAACACATTGTAAAAGCACTACACTTTTTACCCTTCTCCCCACATTTTATGTATTTGACATATTTGACATATTTTTTTATTTTGTATATCCCTTAACTAATTATTGTAGATATACCTGGCTTAACTCCTTTTGTCTTTTAACCTTCATAGTAGCTTTATAAGTGATTAATTTACTACCTTTACCATGTTTTCTTTTACCAGTGAAATTTTTTATCTCATAATTTTGTTCTTCTGTCTTTTTCCACTTAAATAAGTACACTTAACATTTTTTGTAAGGCTGGTTTAGTGATAATAAACTCCTTTAACTTTTGTATGGGAAACGACTTATGTTTCCTTTAATTCTGAATGATAGCCTTGCTGGGTAGAATATTATTTGTTGTAGTGTTTTTCCTTTCAGTACTTTGAATAATATATCATGCCACTCTCTTCTGGGCTACAAAATTTCTGCTGTAACATAAGCTGATAGTCTTATGGGTGTTTCCTTATATGTAACTAGTTGCTTTTCTCTAGCTGCATTTAATATTTTATCTTTGATTTTTCACATTTTAATTATTAATGTCTTGGTGTAGACCTCTTTGACTTCATCTTTATTAGGATTCTCTATGCTTCCTGGATCTGAGTATCTGTTTCCTTCCACAGGTTAGGGAAGTTTTCAGCTTCAAATAATTTTTCTGGCCCTTTTTCTCTCTCTTATTCTGGAATCCCTATAATGTGAGTGTTATACATTTGATGGTATTCCAGAAGTCCCTTAACTTACCCTCATTTTTAAAATTATTTTTTCATTTTGTTGTTCAGTTTGTATGATTTATACTACCCTGTCTTTCAGATTGCTGATCCATTGTTTTGCATCCTCTAATCTGCTGTTGATTCCATCTAGTGTATTTTTCATTTCAGTTATTGCATTTTTCAGCCCTGATCGGTTCCTTTTTATATTGTTTGTCTCTTTGTTAAAGCTTTCACTGTGTTTATCCATTCTTCCCCCAAGTTCAGTGAGCACCTTTGGGACTATTACTTTGAACTCTTTATAAAATGGAGACTGCTTATGTTAATTTTACTTAGTTTTTTCCCCTGAGGTTTTGTCTTGTTCTTTCATTTGGAACGTATTCCTCTGTTTCCTCATTTTACTTGGCTCTCTGCATTTGTTTCTATGTTTTAGGTAGTCAGCTATATTTCCTGGTTTTGAAAGTACTGTACTGATGTTGAAGGCATTCTTTGGGGCACAGAAATGCAATACTTCCTGTTCTTCAGAATAAGGCACTCCAGTGGGTGTCGTCTGTGTGGACTGTGTGTGGTCCCCAGTGGCTGGTTAAGAGTCCCAGCTGCAGCTGCTGTGGGCATACTGATGGGTGGGTTTAGTTCTTGGTGTTGCTGGCTGGGAGGCCTGGTGGCAAGTGTTGTGGATTTGTTGCTGGGTAGGGCTCTTCCTTCCCTCTCTGAGGCAGAAGTTGCTTTGAAGGAGTCCTGATCCTGGATAAGGCTGCCCACCATGTATGGCAGGGTGGGAGCCACGTTGGAAGGGCAGCTGCCAGGGTAGGTGGGTTTGGTCAGGGCAGCCACAGAACACCAGGGTGGGTCACACAGTGCTATCAAGGTTGATGGAGAGTGTTCAGAACTGGCATGGGCCAACTAGGCTGAAGAAGGATAAGAAAAATTGTGCCTGCCAATACTTCTGTCCCCAGAGAACGTTCCTACAGATCCCTGACTCTTTAGCATGCCCTAAAAGTAGTCGATAAATGTCCTTCACTTAAGGCCCAGGTACTTTACAAACTGCTGCCTCTGTGTTGGGTCCAAGAATGAGTAAGATTGTCTGCAGGCCAATCCTACAGGCCTCCAGCTCTCCTGAAGCTAAGCCCTACTGATTGTCAAAGCCAGATATTAAGGGAACTTACCTCTCTGGTACATATCCTTGAAGGGAGGAGGTGTTCAATGTGGACTTTAACTTCACTCTTCAGGAAGGACCTCCACACCTGTGATATCTCTCCCATTTGTGGGATGGTGTGCTGGGGGTCTGGGTCCCAACCAGACTACCTCTCTGCCCCTATTCTTCTTGATGTGGCTTTTTCTTTATATCTTTAGCTGTGTTAGAGTTGTTCTGATAGTCTTCAGTTTCTTCTCCAATACAGTTCCTCTATATGTAGTTATTGCATGGTGTGTCCATGAGAGGAGGTAAGCTCAGGATCTTCCTACCTTGACATCTTGAACCTTGTCCTCTGTATTTTGTGCAACTACATTTCCTATACTCTCTTGCTGGTAGGGTTATGAATATAAAGTTGGTTTAGAAACAAATTCACTCACAAAAACTTTGTAGTTCAAACTGAATCACATAGTGAGACAGGTACAGCACAGGTCACACATTTGTCTGTTGTACATTCTGGCAGGACTGTTTTCTGGAACCTGTGACTGTAGCAGCATCTCCTTGATTTATTAAGAAGCTTCCTGGTCATGATGGCAAAGGCAGAAACTCCTTTGGTAGTCAAGTTCTGCTGTGTGATTATGGGAGTCATTCATGAAAGTACAGCCTGAAATTTCTTTCCTCAGCCCTCTCAACAATCCATAGCTACTCATGCATCCTTTCTGCTTAAAATGGCTGAAGTGGATATTGTCATCTACTATAAGAATACCAACTAATAGTTTCCTTGTCTTTAAACAAGGAAACCAACTAATTGTTTCCTTACCAACTAATAGTTTCCTTGTCTCCTTGATGGAGAAAATTTATGTAAAGCATGTTAATACCCTATTTATCACCTGCCAGAAAGTAGTTATTGTTTCATTGTTATCCTTCTTCCCAAGTGATTTAACAATCAAGATGCCTGGGTTTGAATTATGGCTTTCGCATATATTCTTTCTGCAATCTTAGTCAAGTTGCTTAACCACTCTAGGGTTTTATTTCTTTATCTATATATTAGGTAAAAGGTACAATTACTTCATGGAGATTCGTGAAAATTAAATGAGAATATCTAAATAAAAATTTCTTGTCTGTACTTTGTTATTTTCCATACAAGCAATCTAATTTCATCAAGTCATTTCCCACATGGCTTCCTGTTTTTAAATTCCATGACCTTACCTTGCACTTTTAGAATGCTGGGCACACATTTTAAAAAGTACAGCCAGTGCCTCTATTTTCTGTTATCTTCTGCTTTTCAAATACATTTTTCAAGTTGTTCCTTTTCCATGACATCTTTTCAGGGACCTGCAACCTACCTTGATCGCTTCCTTGATGTTGGAGCTTCTACAAACACCAGCAAGTGTTTTAGCACTTCACTGTTTTTTTTTCATTTAGGAAATGTGTCTTCTTTCTTTCTCAAATGCACTTTTAGCCCCTTAATACCAGTAACAATTACTTAAAAAAATCTAACACAGCACTTAAGAGAGTTTACCATTTAGTAGTCACCTAGATGATTTATCATGTCATTCACCGAATTCAATTAGATTAAATGGTATTTTTGGAATATATTATTAAATGTAGGGAACTTAGACATAAGCAATTGGTGAAATATTATGTAAAATTATGTACATATTTTTCTAATTAAATTTTTTCTTTTTTACCCAAACGTTTCTTCCTGTCTCTGATTTCCTTTAATTGTGCTTCATTCTATCACAGAGACAGTAATGGTATTAAAAGTTGGCAAAGTGAACACATGATATACCAGTATCAACATGAAAATAAAGGAATGACTTCTGTTCCTTAGACACGTTTGTCAGCATTGATGTAAGAGTTTGCACAGATAAGAGAGCTGAGAGCACGGGTTTTCAACCCTGGCTGCAAATTGGGATGCCTGAAGAGCTTTAATAATACCAATACCTGCATCTTAAATCCAGATACTTCCTTTTGACCAAACTAGCATATGGCTTAACAATAGGGTATTTAAAAGTTAACCAGATGATTCTCATGAGCAATTAGAAATAAAAAACCACTGGTTAGAGGCTGTTCTTCAAACAGCATTCTTTCCTATTCATTTTCCTCTCAATGTTTTGCTCTAGGAACATGATGCCTGATTAGAGAGATTTAAGGCCATTCATCTAAGCATTCCTTGTCACCAGTGGTACCTTTGGCACATATATGCATGTAAGGATGATAAGATGGTATTATTTTGAAAACTATTTTCTGAAAATATCTTTACAATTTTAGTAGACAGTAATTTTATTCACATACTTTGGGGAAAAAAGGTAATGAAACTAAAATATCAGCCGGACAAGAAGAATAGAGAGGAGAAAAGGAAAGAAAAGTCTATAGCTGTATTAAATAAATAAGAGTTACAGTTTCGGATTACATGTACCTGATTGATGGTACCCAGAATGTCAGTGAAGCTGTTTACTTCTGATAAAAGCTGAGATATTATAGATTTTCTCAACAAGCTGCAACTTCCCAGGGTTACCAGACTCTGAGACACATGGTGCTGCACCTGAAACTAAAGATAAAAATGAATAGGTTTCTACTTTCTATCAAGTCAAGTCAAAATATATTTAGTGGGCATTTTCTAAGACTTCATTACTGAATTCATACTGTCAGGAGTATAAAAAGTGTCAACATAATTCTGGGTCAGTCTTAAGCGAAATTATGAAATAGACACATTATAACTATATAAGTAATAACATCTTCTATAGCAGTTAATATTTTGAAATGTATGACAAAGTGCTGAAATATAAATTTTAGCTGAAATATCAAAATAAATAATTATATTTAGATAGACCATATATAGAATGAATGAATAAAAAAATAAAAGAGATGATAAAACTCTTAAGTGCTTATCTACTAGATATAAGGATACATATAGATATATATAAAAAGTGAAAGAATGGAGTTTGAAAATGTCTTTTGGGATAGCTGTTGGTACACTATGAATCCCAACTCCACACTGGAGAGACAGGTAGAAGGACTTCTCTATTCTCCATAAGTCAGGAGAGAGGCATTTGACAGAGAGGAGAAAAATGTAGAACTATAAATTTTCATCTAGAGGCAGCAAAAAGTACTCACGACTAAACAAATATAAAAGGACATTAGGAGACAACAAACTATATCCCATACAATTATTAAGAGAAAGGCCATCTGATTATAAATCACATTAAAGTTATGTATAAATCATAGCTGGAACTTCATTAAATATACCCTTTAATATATTTTGGAGAAAGGAAGCTTCAGAAGTATCTTAAAGAAATAGCACATACCTTGTCATGTTAAAATCATATTAAGGAGACATTGCTTTTGTATATAAAATGTTTAAATGATAATGTTAAGTAAATAATGGTCTATGAAATTAGGAAATGTCACCTGTGTCCTTTAAGATAAACACTTAATGTAGATATTTCTCAAATAGATATTTTAATAATATACCTTAAAATTTAATCAATGACAGTAAAATGGTGAACATATTAGAGTTCAAAAGAAATTTCTATTATAAATACAGATTTATGTAACTAGTTCTCAGTAATAGTTTCCTAAGTCAACTTGTCAACTCAATACTAAAACCACATTGATTTGTTACCATAAGAAATCACAGTTATTTATCATTATTATTTCTTAATAATGTAACTGGCTAAGACACCCTCTGTAGCTGTCCACTGCCAGTTTTTTGCAGATTTTTCACATTTTTGTTTGTACCTGAAAAAAGAATACTCTTATATAAACTCTAAAAAAATTTCTGTTGAGTATTCCACTGATGCTTTAGTTGTACTTATGTCTTTTCTTAATATTTAATTCTTTAGGAGATAAAGTGCAGAAAAAATTCACAGTAAAATAAAAGGTACTTCAGACAGTGGGAATGAAATTATGAGGGTACTAACAAGGTTAGGTTTGTGGACTCTGGAACCTAACTGCCTGAGTCAAATGTCACCTCTACTGCTTATTAACTTTTACTAGCAAGTTACCTTTTTTAATGTTTGAGCTTCCACACCTGCAAAATAATGATTGTGATAGCACCCACTTCAGCTGTTGTACATATTAATTTAGACAGTAAAAATGGTTAACACAGTGCCAGGCATTTAATAAGTGTTCAATAAGTGTCACATGTTATAATGTAAAAGCACTGAAGGATACAGAAATGTAATTTATTGAACCCTGAAAAGTTAAATACTAGTAATAAAATAAAAATAAATGTTTTTCTAGAGTTAATACAATCCTATTAGAGAACACTGATAAGAAGAAAAGTTCATCATAAACACCTTTTCCAGAATCTAGATAGGAATTGTTACTGTCTCCCCAATATGACTGAGGTTTGTAAGAGAACAAAGACTAAGTATATAACTGTTAAGGTAATGTAAAATTCTGTTAATGTTTTATAAAAATGGCCTCTATACTTCTTTACATTTTAATTGACACTTGCCCTTTTGAAAACACAGTGGAACTTTTGAAAGAGGCTGGCATGGAGGCTAGGGCTTATATCATACAATATACAAGTGGCTACTGTGGTGGAAAACATGGAAGGTCTCACTCAATACTTATGCTATCTTTTTCTACTCTAGCACATCTTCCTGTATTTCAGGGACTGGAAAGTTATTAATAATTTCCCCCAGATTCCTGTGCAGTTAGAATTTTGGATATTATTTGAGTTCTGCCCATCGGAAGTACTCACTTGAGATTTTTATTTAGAAGAACATTACGGAAGAAGAGAAGCAGGGCAGCATGCATTCTGTTAGTGACGACTGGCAGAGGGGACATGGTTTTGGCTCATCCTGCAGCTGGTTCAAAGCTTCCTACTTTTGCAAATTCTTAATCCTGATGGAAGCAGTAGGATGCTACCTTGGTGGCTTAGTGGTTTGGGAGTCATTCTTGTAAATTCAGCCTTCTCAAATACGTGTGAACTCAGCCAAATCAAATGTGCGTTGATCTACATATTCCACTGGAGGATTCACAGAACCCAGTGCTGACATTTAAGTCTTGAAATATGCAGAGGCAGAAATTCCTACCACATGTTCAATACATTTGCCTATCTGATCTGTGTAAAAGATAGAAGGATCTTGGAGAATGGCAGTGAATTAGCACAGATTTCATCAGGGGTAGTTCTGTTCCAGTTGTAGTTCCTTTCTTAGCACAATCAACACTGCTTCTGATATTGTTAGACAGGTCTTAATCTGGGAATATATTTTATTATCCCAATAAGGATAGAATGAAGCAGCTTGCATTCACCTAATGAGACATTCAGTATAATTTTTCTGTCCTATTTAAGGCCATGTCAACTTGCTGGGCTCTGTGTCATTACTTAGTTCATAGGACTGTGATCATGTCAAAGGACATTCCACAGAACATCATGCTGGTGTACTGTATTGATATCATGCTGATATGGCAATTTTTTTAAAGTCCCTGGTAAAAAAAACATGCATTACAAGAGAGTGGACCCCAGGATTCAGGTACCTGATACACCTGGGACGTTTCTGGGTCTGATGCATGTTAGAATACCCCTTCAAAGTGAAAAAACAGGTTGCTTTTGTATGTATTTCCTATCAGTAATAAAAACATATTAATATTTGATGGGAATTTGTGGATATTTGGGGCAGCATATATTCATTTAGGCTTACCATTTGGATGGAAACATTGAGTAAATCCTGTCTATAAACTTTGAGAAGAGCCCAGAGTCATATAAAGATCTCTAGCTGGTCTAAGTTGAGGAACAGGAAGCTCTGCCACTTGGGCCTTACGACAATAATATCTAACGTTCTTGGAGTTCATCAGTAACTTTATGAAGCCTGTAGCTGATCGTAATAAGAAAATCACAAAGAAAATTACACTTGGTTTGGGAAGAAAGTCAAACCTTTCTTGGCAAATAAGTATAATCTTACACACGCACACACACATACATACATATAACTATTTGGTCCTACAAGGGATTAAATAACTGCCTGATCATGGGACACCAATTAGTCACATATGCCCAAAGCTGCTCATTTGAACAGTGGTACCTAAAGTCAGTTATACACAGCAACACTCTGTCATCAAGTAGCTACACTATATAGAAAATCATGATCAAGCAGGAAATAAAAGCAGAAGTGGTGCTTGAACAGTTAGTTCCAACTAGAATAACACTCCTTACAAGGTTGAGTTATAAGAAATTTATGTTCTAAACCAGTGACAAATATATGATGCTCTTTCTCTGATACCCAGAATACATGAGTTCAGGAACCAAGGTATGAAAGAGACTGGGAACTCTCAATATTACATCTAATGATTCATTGGTAAAGTATTCTTTACACCCTTGTGACTGGATTCTGGTTTAGAAGTCTAAATAAACAAGTAAGAATGGTTTCTACTAAAGAACCCCACAATTGTTTCATGAATTGGAGGCTGAAATTTCCACCTGGCTATATGAAGTTCTTTGTGCCACCCTGTCAATAGCAAATAGGACATTCCTATGTTGGCTAGAGCAATTGATCTCTGGTTGAGGAAAACAGGCATTTAAAACACAATGGCAGCAGGGGAAGATTGTATTTGGAAGCCAGGCGTTACCTGGTATGAATGTCCAAGTAATGTAAGTAAATAGAATATTATAGCAACCTCATGAGGCAAGACCACCAAAAGGCCAGATCCTTCAGAGATGAAACTGTGGGTAAATCCAATTAATTGAGGTTCTGGCTAAGGACAAGTGGAGGGTATAACTTTAGTGGAGGAAGAAAGTCAATATAAATTGTCGATTTATAACTAGTTGTACAACTGAAGGCCATGGAGGGTCATTTTTCTCTTTGTGTGTGTGTGTGTGTGTGTGTGTGTAGGTATGGCATTTTGGCAGTGGCTCACTTTATAATTTAGTCCATGAACTGCAACACATTGTGATGGAACTGGCATAGGCATGATTATCACATCATCACATAAAATCACATCACATCACCTCACATCACATGAAATGATTGACCCTTTGAATCTTTCCTTTTGAGAAGAGGTCTACAGATTTTTGTTTCTATAGAGAATTGGTACATTATGTCTTCCAAGTACAGTTTTTGCTATTGATAGTTTGGGGAAGTTTGAACAAGGGAAAAAGCTTTATTGAATTCATATGTAAGTAAGTATATAAATAAATAAACCTAAATCTCTCTCTTGTTTGCACATGCTCTATCTCTCTCTATATATAGATATACACATATTACATAAAAGAGATCAGACTCTGAGGCCAGACTGCCTGTTCAAAACCTAACTCAGCAATTTACTACCTATGTGACCACTAGTAATTTACTATACTTCTCTGTAGCTTAGTTTTCTCACCTGTAAAAGGAGGATAAGAATAGCTACTATTTCCCAGGCTTGTTCTGAAAAATAAATGAGTTAATACACGGAAATATTTGTAATGAATGTTAGCTATTTTTAACTCTAAGGAAAGAAGATAACCAGATAGAAAGATCTCTCTCTCTCTCTCTCTCTCTCTCTCTCTCCTCTCTCTCTTTTTCCATCACATCTGCAGGAGAGCTCATACCTCCTCCACCCCAT